GAACGTAGGGCCTACATGTACTGTACATGTATACGACGTGGCACGTCAATTATCCGGCCCATACGGTACGCAAGATGGCCGGCGCGGCCCAATGGGGAAGGGAATTATGGGAAATAGAGCATTGAAATAGAGTGGAAATAGCCGGGCCCCGTTCCGCATCCCCCGCAGCCAACGGGCGCGATGGGGACGGGAGACCGGTCTGGAAAATGGCAGCGCCCCCCGATCATTTTCGTGATTGTAGTATAGATATTAAAGCCCTGTCCGCACTGGACTTTTTTTTGGTCAAACTAACCGAGACTATGGGTACTTTTCCCATTTTAAGTCCAGTGCGGACAGCCTAGGACGTTTTCCTCTCGGTTACTTTTCCTGAGTCCAGCGGTTACTTTTACTGGCCAACTGCTGCCCAGGAAAACTTCCCACGCGCCCAGGAAAACTGACCAGGTCACTTTTCCCGAGACGATAAGTCCAGTGCGGACAGTGCGAGTCGGTAAAAGCGGCTCAGGAAAGCGTACTTCCAGCCCGAGCGCCATGTTATGCATACAGAGACCGCACGAACCTCAGTGCACGTGTGGCCGAAGACATTTTGTAGAAACACGCTGCGCCGTGTATCATCAAGTCCGAGCGGTAAAATCTCGTTAAAATATATATTTCAACGGACAAATACATACACAGAGAAGAGAGATCACGTTCTGAGAATTAATTTGCGGAAATTCTCTTTCTCCACCGATGTATGTTATTTTCTACGATCCAAATTCGTCCTGATACGCTACTGTAGTCATGCACGGAACATCATGGTCCGGTACCGCACGTAGGCCGTAGTCACTGGTTCCTGGCCCACATCATAGCTTCAATTCTGTAAGCATGCGATGGGAACCAACGAATACTGATGGCACTGCTGCCGCACGGAACATCGTACAGCGGCATGGCTTCGACGACGTGCATCACAAATGCGTCAGAATTACAGGCCTTTTCGTCAAGATTTAGCGTGTCAAGATGAAATAATATCGTGTAAACGATTATGTTGTGCATGCAAATGGCGTGTGTAATATTACTGTGCGTATCGGCGGCTGAAAATGTCATCGGCAATTTGTTTTCTGTGTACGGTGAGTAATTATACTGACACTGTGACAGCTCGGTTACTTCTCCCACGCGGTCTGGGTAAATTTTCCCGTGTCGAAAGTCCAAGTGCGGACAGTGGTCACATTTGACCATTTCTCATTTTACTATCGTCTCGGTAAAACCTTCCAAAAAAAAAGTCCAGTGCGGACACGGCTTAAGACGATGCATCAGACTAGGGAATCTATATCCACATAGTCACATTGATCACTTAGTGTATACTTCATTTATTCACAACAACTAAAGAAGACCTGCCCAAATCATTCCATAATAAGCACAAAAGTCTAGCATAATATAGCTTGCTCCAAGTTTAGCAGAGGATGATTACTTTGCTACTGATGAAGCAGGAAATTCAATTGATTCTAATTCTACATGTGCATGTACTATAAGCTGAGCCACATAATTAGGGACTGCCATATTGTGTCTTCAGTATGAAGGCAGAGTCCTTTCAGCATACTGAATTCTCATCTAGCCCCTATGTCAGATTACACACACCAATTCCAGGTGATCATTCCACGCTTATGTGGCCATCAATTGCCCATGCAGCTAAACCCTTGGAAAAACAAGAACCCAATCTACAAACCAGCTGTAGAGTGGGACAGTCATAAACAGCCCTGTATTCATGGCAATAGTTTGGTGTGCAGCTCAAACAGAATGGAAAGTCATTATTTCTAGTCTTGACCTTGGGACAGTTTGAAAAAAGTGCATATGGAGCCATGAATAGATCCTAAACAGTCTGCTGGCTTGATGGACCATCTCTTTACGACGTTACAGGGTGTTGGCAAAACCTTCCACTGTATGCTTGTAGATGAGCATGCCAGATAAATCTACCATATTTATCAATGTCAATGGTACAGCACCAGAGTTACATGTATAAAAGACAAATAACAGTGGTAACTTGTATGCTTTATGCAGATATTTTGGGCTTTTTTCTGGGGAAAAAAATTGGTATATATGCAGGTGCACCAAAACTCCTTTCACAAACAAATATCCAAATCTGTAAGAAACTGATATATCACTAATGGCGTAAACTGAACTTTTCAGCTAGGATCAAAACGTGAGGACCTCTAACTTTTCGTTTTGTATCTTTCAGGTCAAAGATAAAAATGAACAAAACTACTGCAAACTGGTAGTTTTGCATCAATTTCGTTCATTTTTATCATAAAAATAAATATCGCCAAAAAGCAAACTGACTAAAATGTCCTATTTATACAAATCCTAATATTGATATAATTAGTAGAATTTGATGATTATGGTCGGTATGACAGACATATTGTTTTGTTCAGCTGTAATAGCACGTGTAAACCTCAGTACATTCTCATTTTTGTATTTTGTAAGTAGAAGCCAAATACAATAATGGTTAGAGGACATACTGTGCTTGAATATGAGAACTCAATTTTAAAAGACAAAAACCTGAGTTTCTCAAATGACTGAGACTTCAAATAATACCAACTGCAGCAGCAATTTCAAATACCAGATGTATTATCCTGTTGCAAAATACATGTATGTTGTCACAAATCACTAGCACATATGGGAAATTTGAATTGGTCATCATTCACCTTAGACCCAGTGTGGTATCTCCTTGGCAACTTAAAGCTATAGTCCATCATTTGCAGCCATCCGAAAAGTAGCTGGCGTAATTATTGTTGAAAAACATACTTGGTTGAAAGATAGTAAGGGACTAAACTCCCTGTGAACTTATTCTTTCTGGCAAGCTGTCATGTTGAAGTAATCAACAAAAGAAGGCCTTTCCAACGGTGCTTCTTAAGACGCACCGTAGGAAAATTTAAATTAGTAGTTCGTTTTGTTATTCGGCGAAGCGCGCGCAAGCATTGGCACGACGCACACGCACCCCCGGTTGCTATAATTCGTCAGATCAGTGCGCGACATCGCGTAGCTGCATTCGGCTCAGCGAGAACGTGTCTCGGATGCTGAATTCAGGCGCAATTCAAAACATGATTCAGCAACTTTTGATTTGAAATTGAGATCCTAGAATGCTGTTTTTCTCAGAATATACAGCTGAAGCTGAGCTGAAACTTTATCAGGTTAGTTGTTCAGTACCCTTCTTTAGATTTTGAGCACTTTTGTTGCTTCAAACGAACAAAATGCACAAATTACAAATGATGGACTATAACTTTAAACAATAAAATATTAAACCAAGTACGTTACAATTCAAGTATTAGCCTAAGTACGTGTGTATAATGTCCAGTGGCCCCCCCCCCCCCCGGCTTTCAGAATATACATAGGCTGGCTAGGTAGTGGTACGTCAGTCTGTCTCAGACATATAGGCTTGCTAAAACACCCTACAAAATGGAAATAATAACCTGAAATGTAATGGGGGTGCATTTCAAACAGTAAGTATACTTCACAGACCCTTTAACCTGTGTGTTCCACACATTTCTTGCCCTTTAAGAGATCAGCTTGTCATTACAGCCATCTTTAAGCCAGCAACTGCTATGAGTGGTGAATGATACATATAGGCCAGCTGGTAGTTCCACCAGCCTACTGCAATCTACCCATGGGAATGACAGCAGGCCAACAATCTCACCTGCTGCATCTGGCAATGACTTACCAGCAGTTTCACAATATTTTATCTTTCTTATGGATTGTGACATTTCTGAGTTGGGTAGACTACTAAGAAAGAGAGCAAACTAAGAATGGTCCCCCCCCCCCAAAAAAAAAAATCATTGTAGACTTGTGTTGCTAGTAATGAAAGATACAATAAGAAGGGGCCAAAAATATGAAATAAACGTGTAAAAAAAAATCAGAATGATGTCCACAAAATAAGAGCATCAAATAGAAAGATGTAGGGTCTGCATGATGTTCTAGGTTGGGTGGGGTAATTGGAAACGTACTGGAAGCCTAAGCTGGATGGTACAGATACAATAAACGTTAAACGAGTCAATTAAGATTATTTTGGTTCATGACACCAACTCACGATGAACTCATTTGCAATGAACAAAACAAGAGACCACCTTAAAACACTCAACACCTTAGAACATTTCATTGGCAATCTACATAGGTACATCAAGGAATTGTTTTCCTTCAGATTATATTTGAGCCGATAAAGCTGGCTGGCTGGCCGACCAACTGACCTCACTTTTATAAGCCCCAAAATATGAAAACCGTAGAATTAAAAACAGATGCCCATAGCAAAAGACAGAGTAAAAACAAACAAAAACAAACAGATTTAGTTTAATTCACATGTAAACTCACTCTGAAGATTTTGTATAAAGCAAAGCCTCCACAGCTATACATGTACTTTATACACATTTATTAGACATTATGTTACGTACTAAAATGAAAAAAAGCCATACAAAATTGACCCAACAAGCACATAATATGGGAAAAAGCCCCTTACATTCTCAGATGTAGTTCATGGTCTTTCACAGTGTCTAACTTAAACTCCTTGGCCATGACCTTTTCTAGACAGGGCAGATCTTGTAGCTAGAATCCTACAGCAATTATACAGAGGGTATGTGCTGGAATACAATGCCCTCTAGCTGCACTCTACTCAATCTTGGCTTGACAGACCCCACCCTTGTTGGTTTTTATACATCTCCGTTTTCCCTTTCCTTCTAAAGGAAATCCAATTAGATTGCTGCTTTTCCCCAGTCTGGCTTGGCTTCTGCAATTTGTTCCTGGATCTGCCAAGTCAGATTAGCTTCACAATATCACAAGTCAGCACATCATTGCAACTTTCAACTCTGCTAGTCAGGTCACCCATAACTATGACCATCATAACTTAGACATTTCATTTCCTTTTTGTCCAAATTGACCTTTCGGATTTAAACAAAATCCAAAGACACCATCAACTTTTCCACTCTGAATAAAGAAAACAGAATTATTGTGATTGAAAAGAAGGCAAAGAATTGTCCACATACCTGACATGGGAGGGGGCGAACCCACAGGTGTTGACGGATTAGAAGGAAAACTGCTATTGGTGTGATCGGCTGAATATATCTGTAGGGAAACCCAAGAAATCAATATTCCTCAATTACTATTAAAACTTTTTTTATGCAGACATAAACACATCTCTTTAGAAATTAGAATAAAGTTTGGGAGATACAGAGACACTTCTACCTTTTGTTCAAGTTTCTACCAATCAAGGTGAAGTTGGATCTTTGTATATGAATGTCATTTTAGCATAATTGTCAACACCTACTACTTGTAATGCACATCATAACCAACTAAAGAATTAATGTGACCATGTGCAACACTGACTGTTTGGCACAGTGTTCCTAATAGGGGGTACCTCAGGTCACTGTGGCTACGAATGCTCATTGTTCTTCTCTCTGACTGACTGACCTAGAAATTATACAGTTTCATCATTTCCTATGCCTGTAATGGAGGAAATTATTGCTAAGAAGAAAAGTAATCCTTTGCCATTAATCTTGATAAAGTTGATTTGTGTGAAGTTTATATACTGTCAAGTGTCTACATGAATCATCCAAAGCAAGGCTGAGTATGTAAACTACAACATGTGAAACTGGTAGTTCAACTTCATTTACATACATGTACGTACATTTTTCAACAAGTTAAACCTTAACCACAGTCATATGTTACATGCACTAAAGCATATGTACCCAAGTCAAAGGAAATACCAGAATTTTAATTTGTCTAACTCCCAGATTATGGACATTTGGAAGAGGCCTTGTGTTTGTCTCATTTCTACAAGAAGACAATGCAAAGATTACATAAGGTTGCTATGAAAGAGTTGGCAAATTGTATAAAAAAAAGGTAGGAGTCATTTTTATCCGTTGTGATTTAATATTTATCTTTGGAAAAGGAGTCTGAAATGTAGAGACACTAGAATCCAAACCTACATGTACTTGCACTGAGAATTTCAGTCTTCTGGAAACGCAAAGGGCACCCACTGGGCCCTAATTTCAACTCATACTTGCTCCAGATGTCAAACATTCAAACTTCTCACCTACATTCCCACCCACTTACAAAATCAGTATGAGCTTAAATTGCCGGCAGGATGGGGTCTTGTATGGTACACTTCTTTCAATTTACTCCTCCGTTCAATGCCCTTAAAACGAATAAATTCTTGCTGCATATTCACCAAAAAGATAATCTTATTACAAACATATATGTACACTCTAGCAACTCTCCACACAAAGTATTACTTCAGACATCTCAGATTTGACATACCTTTTTCCATTTGAAATAAGTGTACCGTTTCTGTTAATTTCCAAAGTATTTTCTTGCACTCCCTTCATTTGCATTATTTGGTTTAATCCAGAAACTGTCCTTAAAATTATCGTACAATTTAAAACATATACAATGTAGCATCTACATAATGCTACAATTTCCTACAATACCAACAAATTTTAATTTTCATACAGGGTGAAAAATTTTAGATATCAAAACACTAAGTTTAGAACAGTTTTGTGTTCATATATTTCATTTATTTTGATTCATAAAGAGGGTGAGGCTGATTATGCTTATTCCATCCTGGTAATGTGATTGTGGCAAATCGCTGGCCCTGGGAACAGTAACATTTTTATGTCTACCTCTGTAAAAATTGACCGGTATTTCACTGAAGCTATGTTCAAACGTTCTCACTCTTGTATGCCCTGGCTTTTGAACAAAAAATGCTTAAGTGTCTAAAGCTTATTTCAAGCCTTACAATCAGAGCTCGCTTGCAAGATACATATTACCATAGAAAATACATACATTGCTGACTGGTACGAAGATATCATATTTGCACTCGTAATACAAATGTGTCGTTTCGTCAATTTTGTTAAAATTAAATATAATATGTGGTTTTGAGGGAAAAATTCATTAACATCAGATTTTTTGGAAGGAAATTTGACAAAATAAGAAATCCAATTGAAATAAGAAAAGTCGCATATCTGCTTGTATCATGTGAAGTTCAGCTTCTATGCATGTGTACTTCAGCATGTTTGAATAAACTATGTGTAGGTTTACTTGATTCACATCAAGATTTTAAATCAACAGAGAATAATATTAAAAACAAAAATCATCCAACATGAATCACTCAAGAAAGATCTTTATTTGTTTTTGTTTGGGTCATTTTTTTGTTTAATTAAAACTTTTTTTCCATTTTAAACCAGTAGCATAAAGGTCTAATTTGAGATTGAATTTCATGAAGCTGGTCCGTGTCATGCAATCAATTCATTTGAAAGTATCAACATTCTCAATACAACTAAGTGTTACTATATGGTTAGAGTTACTACCTTTTGTACATGTACATGTATAACATTCGCAGCAAAATACATGTACATGTACATGTATGTACATGCGTGAAAACGTAAGGTGCACACGCACAATGAATGAATCAGAACTCCTACTGTTATTGGAAAAAAATTCACCAAATATCACCTTGCAAATGATTGAATGCCTGATGTGAGTTTTACAATTTCATAATATTTTTCGAGATAATATTGCTTAAATTAATATAAATGTATGATGTACATGTAGGCACCCAAACAATTCCAAACAAAGTTTAAGAATATTTGCTTATCCCATTAGGATAGAACTCAACAAAGGCAGACTTTTTGTAAAAAAATAAAACCAATCATAAATGTTGTCTTCAACTGTAAAAACTAGAACAGAGCAGGCAGGTCAGGCACCTTATATTGGTGTATGGTGTGACCATGGTGTGACCGACCCCAATGCCAATACACTGTTGCTTGCTGGGGTGGGGACTACAACATTTCTGTCTTTATTTAGCTCACACTTGAGTTGATGATGGAAAGAAAACAGCTCACAGAGGAATAAAGTCTTCAACATGATATCCAGGGCCATTAACCGTGGTTCCTTGATATAAAAAAGGTGGCAACATTGATAACCATTGGTAACATTTACATAATTTTAATATACATGTAGGAAAATGGTCTTATTGGTGGAAATATAAGGCTAAAATAAAAGCTTGAGAAAAATACACTGTATTATTGTGCAAAACACCCAGTCCGTCACTTCCTTTAATTAAAAAGCTATGTTTTAAAATACATGTAACTAGTTTTAACCGTAAAGCACCTATGATTTTTTATGACTGAAAAACATATTTTCAACTTTTTAATAAAATGGAACCAGGCATATTTCTGAATGCACACATAACATATGACCTTTCATGGCATGGGTTAGTGTAAGAGTAATGACATGCAACATATGGCGAAATACAGTCAGTCAAGTATTGGTTATTTGTAGTACAAACCACAACTCTTCCCCATGTGATCTGCAAACATAAACATGAAATAAAACTGTTTTACCCCCAAAGATTAGTGTTCACGCAGATACTTTGATACTGACCAAGCATTACAACTGAACAACTTCTATGACATGTATGATGTTGACTTCTTGTGGTCCACTAAGTATTTTCTCCACTCCAGTGTTTGCGTCAACAAGTAGTAAAGTACTTTACAACCACAAATGCTGATTTACGAAAATCAACGAAAGGGATTTTTGCACTGATTTACAATACTTCCTTTAGTTTTAGTGATAAATTGACCAAATCGCATCATGGTACGTGATTAGGTGCACAAAGGTATGGAATTTAAAAAAAAAAAATTATTTTGCATTTTTAATTTACGTGGGATTTAATTAAAAAACACATCAACAATTCATAATGAAAAAAAAACACCATGTGATATTACAAAAATACCGACGTAGATGATGGGTTAGAAACATATTCCAAACATTTGCTTCTTGAACTGTTAAAGCACACTCTCTTTGGGAAACGAATGACAGCAGAACAGTTTTTTGATAACACACTAATGAATGTACAATTCTCCTTTGTTCCCCCCAAATGCAGGTTGCAATTTTAGAACTATAACATTTGAAAGGAAGAAATAGAAGACATAAAACTTGCAGTTGCAATGACAAGATTTAGAGTTCAGTCAAAATGATCTTTGTCAAAGTCAAGAATGACTGTAGTGGCTGATCTTACCCATGGATATCTTGGATGGCTAAAGCTGGGTACAAACATTGTTGGCTGTGAGTGCGAATGGTGATGCTGATATGCTGCAGCAGCAGCTGCAGATGCAGTCATACCAGGCACGGTGTATCCACCCTCAGCCTGCTGCATGTGGGCATGGGCAGGCCTATACATCCAAGCAGATAACAAGACACCAATACGAGCAATAATCAACAAGACCACCAAGGCGTTGCTGTCTTCAAAGTTGCTGAATCCAACTTGTTAATACTAAGCCTATTGCACAGAGCAATCTCAGTACAAACTCCCTCGTGATCAATGATTGGCAATTGTGCTTGTAGACCATACAATTCAACAAATCCTATGAAGTATGATGAGTCATATGGCCATCCATCCACTTCCAGACTTCAGTCTTCATCCAGTGCATGAGTGGACTGAACTTGTTGCTGAGATGCTGTTTTCTGTGCAGAATTCATGCTGAGATTAAGCCAGTCAACAGTTGAAAGTTAGTGGTTTGACCTCCAGCTCCAACAAATCAGTCTTTGGAATCTGGAAGTGATCAGTTGGAGTGCTTGGGATTATGTAATCACTGTAATGATAAACTCCTGGAGACTGCAAGATGGACAGAACCCAAGCACTTTGTGGCTGTCTGTTATTTCCCCTCAATGCCAGTCAACTGAAACAAACCTCAAGAAGCACTGAGAGTAGATGTGGTCTTGCAATCATGCAATAATGTCATGTATGAACAAGTACAAGCACCAAACTCTACAATTTCAGCAACATACATGTAGACACACTCCAAGAGTTAGATACCAGTAGTCACTTGCTCTGACCAATAACTTTTACATTACTGTCACATGGAAGTGTGCAAAGCCTACGGGAACCAAATAAAAACAATATGTAGAGCAACCTAGTGGTATAAAGATATACCAGACCTTATGACCAGACCAATGCTGTTATAAATCAAGCTCTTCTCAGTACTGAACATACCACCTCTGAAACTGGTAAAATGAATGCAACAACACAATGAGTACAGCCTACTATACCAAAGGGAGGGCTA